CCGCCCCCCTCCTCCCTCTCCCTCCCCCCTCCTCCCGGGCCTCCGTCTTCCCTCTCTCCCTCCCCCCTCCCCGGGCCTCCGTCTTCCCTCCCTCTCTCCCTCTCCACTCTACCCCCGTGCCCCTTCCCCTCCCCCCCCCTCCCTTGGGGTGACGCCGCTTGTCGACTCCTTCGGTTCTTCCCGCGTTTGTTTGTTTGCTCTTGTTTCTCTTCCTCCTCCTTCCTCCATTTTCTCCTTCTCCTTTTTTCTATTTTTTTAATATTTATCTTCCTATACGTTTGTCTGTTGGTCTTGTTTTTCTTCCTCTTTCTTCCTCACATTTCTCCTCCTTTTCCTCTTTCTCTTCCTTTTTCTCTTATATTTGGTCGTTAGCTCCCGTTTCTCATTCTCTTCCCTCCTCCTTTTTTCTCATTTTATTCCTTCTCTTCCTTCCATTTCTCTTCCCATACGTCTACTTGTTAGCTTCTGTTCCTCCATTTCCTCTTTTCCTCCTTATCCATCTTTTAGTTATTTTCTCTCCTTCATTTTCTTCCCTTCTTCTTTCTTCTTCTCCTTAGTAATTTCCTCTCCTTCCTCTTCTTCTCTTCCTCTTTTTTCTTCTCCTTCTCTTTCTCTCTCCCTCTCTTCGTGCTGGACTGGTCTTGGTAAGTTTTGGTTTGATATTCAGCTTCGTCTGGTATCATGCTTCGTTTGGTATCAAGCTCTCGTACTCTGCTTGTTCTAGATGGTATCTGTCCGAGATGGTATGGTGTTGAAGAGTGAGGTGTTGTGAAGCGATGGTGTTGTGAAGGGATGGTATTGTGAAGGGAATGGTGTTGAAGAGTGATGTGTTGTGAAGCGATGGTATTGTGAAGGGATGGTGTTGTGAAAGGATGGTGTTGTGGTGTTGTGAAGCGATCGAATTGTGAAAGGATGGTGTTGTCAAGCGATGGTATTGTGAAAGGATGGTGTTGTGGTGTTGTGAAGCGGTGGTATTGTGAAGGGATGGTATTGTGAAGGGAATGGTGTTGAAGAGTGAGGTGTTGTGAAGCGATGGTATTGTGAAGGGATGGTGTTGTGATGTTGTGAAGCGATGGTATTGTGAAGGGAAGGGCGTTGTGAAGGGAATGGTGCTGTGGTGTTGTGAAGAGATAGTGTTGTGGTTCGTACTAGTTGCACCGTTTAGCCCGTAGTTGTGTCCCCGGGTTGTGAGCTCTGGAGTGTTGTAGAGTGTGGTCGGGAGAGGCAAGGGTGCGAGGTAGTGTTGGTAAAGTGTTGGCAGAGGCTGGCGGTGGCTGGAAGGTAGTGTTGGGAATCGGTGGGAATATCTTAAGGTGGCTTACGGGATGTTGGCAAACTGCGATGAAGACATGTGGTGGTTAACAGGTAATGTTGGCAAGTGGTGGCAGAGGATCGTTATAAAGGAAAGGGTGTTGGCAAACGGTGGCAGAGGCTTGGTATATGGTGGCTGACAGGGTGTTGGGGAACTGTACTAGAAGGTGGCAGAGGTTTATAGTGGCAGCCAGGGAGTGTTGGCAAAAAGGTACCATACAACCATTAAGGATAACAGCGACTTGGAGAGTATCTCTTCTCTTCTTCTCCTCCTTCTTCTTCTTCTACTTCTTCTTCTTCTTCTACTTCTTCTTCTTCTTCTTCTTCTTCTTCTTCTACTTCTTCTTCTTCTTCTTCTTCTACTTCTTCTTCTTCTTCTTCTTCTACTTCTTCTTCTTCTTCTACTTCTTCTTCTTCTTCTACTTCTTCTTCTACTTCTTCTTCTTCTTCTACTTCTTCTTCTTCTTCTACTTCTTCTTCTTCTTCTACTTCTTCTTCTTCTTCTTCTTCTACTTCTTCTTCTTCTTCTACTTCTTCTTCTTCTTCTTCTTCTACTTCTTCTTCTTCTTCT